GTCTATGTTAGAAGGTCAGGAGAAATGGCCTGTTAATGGGACTGTTGATTGTGATAGGATTTTGCAATTGCTGTTTTGCCGAAGGAAGGGAAAATGGGATGAATTTATTCTTTGATTTGCAGAACAGTTCAGATTTGTGAAAGGAATGTATGCATATATGTAAAGACACAACGTTATTAGCATTGGAAAAGGATAAGAAGAAACCACTCGAGATGTTCTGCATGTAGTATTGGTCGGTGGTGTGTTAAATATAAGCAGGAAGAACAGGATGTGGAATTATTGGTTGGGCAAGGAGGCAGAACAGGGCAAAGGGAACAAGGGTCGGGGGCAGATTCAGGCTCAGAGGGGGAAGGAAGCCACTATGCTGGAAATGAAAGCTTTAGCCCCATCGCGAGGCAAACAAGGAGAGGTGCTCCCTAAACATTCAAGCTCCCTTACACCAGGGAGTAGGAGTGAAGGGACTGCTGACTATCAAGGTGCCGTTTTCTATGTCAGATTTAAGAGCCTGGAAAACGTTAACCAGGACCTACAGGGAAGATCCTGAGAAAGTCTCTAAAGTAATGGAGAGGATTATTAGAACAAAAGATCCAGATTGGAATAATTTACAGGTAATACTGGATACTTTAGTGACGTACGATGACGGAAGTGCGGTGCTGGCAAAAGCAAGAGGCAGAAAGATTCCTTGTGCAGGCGGCCCAGCAGGGGTCAGTGGACGACCACTTTCCCTGCCTGACCCTAAGCGGAATCCAGATATTCAGACCCAGAGGTATTTATTAACCTGGTACCAACAGCTGAGTTTGTCTGGAATGAAACGTGATTCCTAACGCAAAGAATTGGTCAACACTGTATCAAATAGTACAGGGGAAAGGGGATAGACTGAGTTTCAGTCTGCTTTTTACTAAAGACATATGGCAACAGCTAGGAAGTATACTGCTTTGGAGCCTGAAAAAGAAGATGATGCAGCACAGTTATCTTGTATTTTTATTGGATGATCAGATCCAGACATTAAATGCCAGCTGCAAAAGCTGGAAGGTCTGTCAATGAACTGTTGGAGACCACCTGGAAAGCGTACAATAACAGAGAGGTTGTTGAAAGGAAGAGGGAAAGGAAGGAAACCTGTTGGGAAGGAAAATTGTTGGCTGTAGCTATCACACAGGAAACCAGGAAAGGGGGGAGCAGCCCAGGAGGGAAGGGCTGGAGGGAAAGATTACACGAAATGTTTGTGAACAGACTGCATGGGTTCACTTAGAGGAGGATCAGTGTGCCATTTGTAAACAGCGGGAATGCCCTCACAGTAAAAATAGACACCGAGGATTTAGTGAAATGTCCACACAGGTGGCAAACCGATGATTTTAGATGAAGACTAAAGAGGAGTGGGGGAAGATTCAAAACCCTTCCCAACAGAGCCCTCAGTTAATTAGGCTGGGAAATGATAAGGTAAAATTCCTTGTAGATACAGGAGCTACCTATTCCGTTATGAATACTTGGCAAAGGACAATGAAGCAAACAAACAGCTTCAGTCATTGGCACCATAGGGCAGAAAGAAAACCGGCCTTTCTTTCAACCTCTGAAATAGGCAAACGGATGTTGACCTATTAATTTCCTTACATGAGTGAATGCCCTCTGCCATTATTGGATAGGGATATACTGAGTAAATTACACTCACAAATTATGTTTAAGGAAATTAAAATCCAGATACATATCCCTGAGGAAGAGGTTGTGGAGGCCTAAGTTTGTACATTACAGAAACCAGCCACTGAGCTGGATATACCAGAAGCAGCAGAGAACGCAGTCACTCCATGGGTATTGGCTACTGGAATCCTGGGCTGATCACAAAATGTGGAACCAGTAACTGTTCATCTGAAACCAAACGCCAGGCTGGTAAGACAGAAACAATATCCTATAAAACTGAAAGCAAGGAAAGGACTAGAGCCTTTAATAGAAAATTTTATTGAATACTTTGGGACAAAAATTGACTGTATTTGTACCTCACATGGTAACAACCGTCCTGGAACAGAAAAGCAGACATTGGCTTTCCCCAAGCAGGCCGTGCTTTTGGAACAGAAGGATGCAGAATTGAAAGTAACTAACCTTTTGAACCCAGCAGTGTTTTTGACAACCGATCCAGAAGCAGGAGAGCTCACAACGGTTTACAGACTATTGAGTGCAGGTATATTCCACTAATACCAACCTACAAAAACCCCCCCCCCGAGGACATGGACTGGGAGCTGTTTACGGGTAGTAGCAGCTTCATGAAAAATGGAAATCAGAAAGCAGGATAAGCTTGGTAACCCAACATGAGGTAATAGAGGGCAAAGCCCTGGCCCCAATGCATCAGTGCAGAAAGCCAAGCTGATCACGCTACTGAGAGCTCTGGCACTGTCAGAAGGTAAAACCATTCACATGTAGACAGAGTCAAAATCTGCTCTTTATTCATGCCCATTGGGCCATATGGAAGGAAAGGGGATTGTTAATTTCTCAGTGGTTCCCTATAATATGGACAAATAATACAGGAATTGCTAAAAGGAGTCCAGCTACCCCAGAAAGGAGCAATCATGCATTGCAAGGCGTATCAATTAGGTAATACTCCAGTGAATAATGGCAACTGCCTTGCTGACAAAACAGGCAAAGAAGCTGCTGGCAGGGACCATTCATTAATATTGCCTCATAAGTGCTTGCATAATGAAGTTCCAAGATACCAGAGAATGAGAAACCGGCAAGTCTATTAGGAGCCAAGAAGAACAATGAAGGATGGTGGGTTATACCAAACAGGCTACTAATAATTCCTCAGCCTCATACAAGAAAAATAGCTGAGGAAAAAAAACAGGCAACTCACTGGGGAACAGAATCAATGACTGAGGCTTTAAACTCCAAGTTGTATGTGTGTGAATGGTGAGAATTAGAAAAAGTCTTGTAAAGAAGTGTGAACTTTTGTTTGCGACACAATTCTTACCTTGCTAAAAGACAGCCACCTGGAATAACAAAGAAAGGCAATTGTCCAGGACACTACAGGCAAGCAGATTTTACAGAGTTGCTGTGGCAAAACAGGCTCAGGTATATACTGGAACTAGTAGATGTGTTTTCTGGTTGCCTGGAGGCTTTCCCTTGTCACACCAATAAGGCCAGAGAAGTAATAAAAATGTTATTAAAATAAATAATTCCAAGGTTTGGGGTACCTATAGCAATGTCATCTGACTGGGGTTCACATTTCATTGCCGAAGTTGTAAAAAATCTGTGCAAGGTAACAGGGATAAAGTGAGATTTGCATACCCCTTGGAAAGCCCAGTCTAGTGGGAAAGTAGAAAGAATCAACTGGAGTTTAAAGAAACAAATTAGTAAGATTTGTCAGGAATCATATCTGAAATGGCCAGATATGTTACCTCTGGCCTTGTTAAAGAGTTAGACTGGTGTCAAAAGAAAAATTAAGCCCATATGAAATATTATATAGGCAACCACATCAAATCACAGAAAGTAAAGGAACAGATTATTGGAGATCAGTATCTAACGGAATATGTTATGTCCCCATAGAAGGTGTTGTCCTCTCTCCACAGGTACATTGTATTGGTGGCACTCATGATTCTGGACATTACTGCTCATAAATAGCAGCCCGGAGACTGCATTTACGTCAAAACTTGGACCGAAGAACCCCTTCAAGAAATTAGAAGGGACCATACCTGGTATTGCTCACAACAAACACTGCCATCAAAGTGCAGTAGACACGTGAGTTCATTACAGTTGGGTCAAACCCTCACTGACACCAGAATGGGCCGCCAAAGCCACAGGACCAACACGCCTAAAGCAGACTGGGATCACTTAACTTCTATTTGCAGAAGACTGTTCAGTGAGCCAACCAAGAGAGAACTTGATCCTGAAATTGGTACAGGGGGGTGGAAAAATGCATTATTTAACTAGAGAGACTGTTTACCTATCCTTCATGCTACAGGAGAACCTATCCCATGGGTTATCATTCCCTTAAATCTCTCATAGATTTAAGTCATAGATCTCAAGTCTTAGAGCATTTTGAATATTTGACTAAAGCAACAAATGCATCCTACTTCTGGACAAAGAACAAGGCTGTAGACAAACAGGCAGTGACACATTCTACCGAAAATACCGGTTAAAAAAATTTTGCAATCCTTTGGAGCGTGGTCCCTAAAGGAATGGTTTGCTATCCTACTATGATAATAGTCACAATTTTAATAGTCAGTATTTGTACAGGATGTGCAAAGAGAGGAACAGAAAAACAGTTGTGGAAGTAATTTGAGACATAGCTAATACTTCCAAAGGGGGGAATTCATACCTAATTAAACAAGTGTTCCATTGTGTACAGGGACATAATCATGGACAAGGCTGCAGGGACTCTCAAGATAAGGAAGCAAGAAGAGGACCAGATGTCTTCCTTTAAATGGATGTTAGCCCTCCTCCTTTCAATAAGGCCTGAGAAATAGGTAAACAGCTGCAAGAGAAAAGAGCTAAAGAAACCTCTCAAGGTCACGAATTTGCTCAAACAAGAACACACAGTTAATTGGCAAGACTAAACAAGTAATTCCAATGTCCTTCACTAATGGATTTCCACAAAGGAGTAAAATGAGTGAGAGTATTTCTCTTGAAACAGCACCCAAAGACCACTCCTAGAATTCACAGCACCTGCGCCACAGCCTTATCTAACCAGATTATCATATGCAATGAGTAATTGGAATTGGGTGGGCACTCTGAAGAATGATGATGAATAAATATACATATAATAATTTATGTAAGCTGTAAACTGTCCCTTCTCAGTGTGAACGATAGGCGGAGGGATCCTCTCTGTACCGTAATGTCAGCTTTCTAACCTGCCCTCCTAGATGGAGAGGTTATTTTCGCGGATTTCAGCAACAGATGGATGGCAGAGCACAGCTATGGGCAGGATTACAGGAAGGAGAGGCTTTAGGGGTCATGGAAAGATCAACTGATGGGACGCGAAAGTTGGCAGACGTGTTACAGGCATAACAGAGACCCCCGAGGAGTAAAATACATTTAATCTCCAGCATCTAAAAACTGCAAACACAGGAAGGACAAACGGAGGCAACACCTGCAGAGAAAGCCACGGCGCGGCAGCAGGAGAGGGTGATGGGCACCAGCACCAGCAGGGTGGAGTGTGTCTGTACTGTACCGTGCTTGGCCCTGGACATGGGAAGGGGGCTACCCCCAACCCAGGGCATATCTCTTGAGTACCCAGAAGAGGAAGAAAAGGGTAGGGAGTACTGGAGCAAATTGGTTCAAGTGTCCCAGCATATCTGAAGGGCCTGAGGTCAGAGGTACAGCCCAAGCTGCTGCCTCCCTCCCTGGAGAGCTCGTACTGCCACCAGGAACAATTCGCACTCTGGAACGACCTGGGCCATCCCAGCTCAGTCCCAGAGCCTTGTCCCTCCCGACAGCCAGGCCAACAGCACACGTGGTATGGAGAAACAGGGGAGGCAGACTCATATACTTCATAGGGTACATACAGGAAACATCCACTTTTCCCCAAAGCATGACAGCAAAACAGCTGTGCCCCTCTCATCTTCTACATCCATGCTGGCCCCTAAAGATGTCACACTGCTCAACAGCAGGAAGGAGAAGGCCATAGCTGTAACTGCCAGCCCCAGGCATTGGACAGCCCCTACAAATGGGACAGGCAGCAACATGTCACAGTCAGGAGGGCAAAGAGCGGCTGGAGGGAGCAGAACTCTGCCCCGAACCACTTAAAGTAGCCAAGGGCAAGTGTAGGGCCCCGAGCTGTGCAGGACTGTGCACAGGCACCAACCACAGCGCCAGGATGAATGCAGAGCTACAGCCTCAAGACAGGGGCAAGGTGAAAGAGGGTCCTGCGATGAGGCTGGGCCAGGCTTGGACCTGCCTCAATGTGCGGGCAAGAGAAAGAAGGCAAGAGGGAAGCGGCAGCATCTCTCCACTGCCCGGAGGCACTGAAGCCCTGCAACATTCATGCATTAGCCGAAAGGCAACTACAAGGGGATCTGACACGCATATGGAAAGCTGGTCCCTGCTCCCCTCACAGGGCTGCAGGAAGGGCAGGGTGTCTTCGCAAGGGGGAGGAAAGAAGCCATCTTCAGCGCCACGCGTGCCCAGCGCCCCTGGAGCTCTGTGTCCTCCTGTCGGGCCACGCCACGCTCCAGCTCTCCCCCCCACGGGCGGCAGGCTCAGAGAAAGTCAAACACCCCGTAATTCTTTGCTGCTTGACAGAAGAAACACAAGAGGGTGAAAAGAAAGGAGAGATGTTTAGGGTGGGAAGACTGAGGCAGCAGTGACACACGGGCAAGCAGCACAGGGCGCTGGGATGGATGCAGATTAATGGCGTTAGAGAGGACAGCAGGAGGGAATTACCATCGGCAATACACAAGTCTGGTGGCAGGAGGGGCTGTGGCACCCAGCAGGCCTGCCAGGCCCATCCACCCCGCTCAAGGTGGGATTAGAATCAAGGTTTAGTTCGTTTATTTCTTTTCTTGTCTTGGTAACGAAAAGGAATAAAGGGAAAAACAAAACAAAACCAAACCAAAAAACCAAGGGGTGAAGCCAGGGCTGGTCCTAGGAGACAAACAACGGGGATGGAGGGAGGAAAGGAGAGCAGCAGACAGACAAGGGACGGGTGCTTCACATTACATCCACAAAGAACTCACTGGGGTTGCCCATAGCCATTCGGAAGGACTGTCTACTGGCTGTCAGTTCAGGGGGCACAGAGGCCAGGTCACGGCCTGGCGGTGCCCCAGGGGGCCCCATGGCTGAAGGTGGTGGAGGCATCAGCAACATGGGGGGGCTGAAGAGAGGGGGGAGGCCGGGCGGCCCATACGACTGCTGGCTGTGGTGGCTGCGGATGCTGTGCGCCAGCGAGTGCTGGCTGCGCTGGCTGTGCTGGCTGGCTGGCACCGAGCGCTCGCTCGCCGCGCGCTCACGCCGCATGCTGCTCCTTGTGGTGTGGTCTGACTCACTCCCGCTGCCGCCTGACTTGGATTCCCCAGTCTTCTCTCTCTCCTTCCTTCTCTCACTGCCACTGCGATTGGAACCGCTGCTCCGGCTCCCTGCAATGAGCACAAGGCAAGGTTAGGTGACAGCTCAGATAAGTCAGGAAAAAAGGATGCTCCTCTAGCCAAGAGAGGACTAGAGCATGCTGCAGCACAGCTATCCACCAGCACAGTCCATGCTCTCAGTTTCTTTTCAGCTCCAAGTTCTATGACCATTTTTGCCCTGGCTCCCCACACATCTATGGCCTTGCCTAAGCAAGTTCTTGCCTTTTCCTGCTGCTTCCCTGTACTGAATAGGGCATCTGCCCACCTGCAGGCATATTTTAGCTCTTTTCACTCACCTTCACTGTGCTGGCTGCCTGCGCTGCCCCCTCCGTAGCTGTATCCTGGATCAGGGAAGCCAGGGTGGGGGTTGTATGGATGAGGAGGTGGATACTGATATGGGAAAGCCATAGGCCAGGGTGCAGCTCCTGGGTGGGGGAGTGGAGCCAAAGTGTCCTGATCAGAGGCACCGCTGGAACCATCATGATTGTGAAGAGACAGATTAGCCATATCTGCAAGAAAGCAGAGAAAAGTGGTTAATCCAAGCAGAAAGACAACCACATGTAATCAAGAAATTCCCTGTCCATTCTTGCTGGTGGACATGGAGGGGGTCCACAAGGAGACACTAAAAGCTGGCACTCTCCCTGCTTGTCAGTGTATCCATTTGTGCTTCCTGGTTGAACAACAACCAGGCTGTGCAAGTCCAAGCTGCCAGTCTAACACAGAGACCAGCTTGGTGGTAAAGGACCACATAACAGCTACAGCTCACCCTGTCAGTTACTTCCTCCATCCCTCTTATTTAAGCAGAACTCAGTTGTCTGAACACCACCCCCTTGCCACCACTGGAAGTTCAGAGCCTGAAGACAGTCGGTACAGACTAAGACTCCACTAGGGCTGCCTGGGAGAAAAGATCACACTGTCAAAGCTGCATCCAACTTCACCACCGCAGCAGCATGACAAAGAAGCTGGAATATTCTTTATCACTCTCTAACAGTGTCTGTAGAACAAGGGGCCCAGCCTGATGGCAACAGCTGTAGCTATGTCCTCATTGTTTCAGCAGGGCTCTGTAGGACCTCTACCCCCCCATCCTCTCCCTCCCACCCATGCCAAGCGTCATACTTCCACAGAGGTCCCCGAAGATGTAATAGCATTGCTCTGAGAAGGTGATCTTGTTGACGGTATGTCGGATATAGCCAGCCTTCAGCAGATAGCTGGCATATTTGCGGGATTCACGACGGTCTGTAAAGCCCTCCACATGGTGATAGAGCCAATCCACCACATCCGAACCTGCCACCAAACACTGAGTTAAATACAGCAAGAGAAAGACAGCGGCCCTTGAGGCAGCAGGCCCCACTGGAACCAAGGCAAAGCGGGCCAGAAGTTGAAAAGGGACTGCACAGCCGAAGGTTCAATTTGTGACTGGCTGGGCCAACAGTTTATAGTGACAGAGATGCTCCCTGGGCATCTACTTGGAAAACAGGCCACCCATTTCTCAGTCCCAGCCTTGGCTGTAGGCAGCACAGTCTCTTACCAATGAAGGCATTGGGGATGGTGATCTTCAGCCACATGCGGTCACGCACCTCCAGGCCTGACTCTGGTGAGGCCATGGCTTTGACAATGGTGGCCATGTCACTGTGGATGGACAGGTGAAAGTCATCGAGGCCTGTGGTGTGGATGAAGGAAGGGAGGCAGAGATGAGAGAGGACAGAAAAGACAACAGGGCTGCATGGAAGCATCACACAAAGGAGGAATGACTAGGGAACAATACATTGCAAACAGCCTTGAGGCACATGCTGTGTAACTCCCCTTCCAGTCTTCCACTGTTATCCTTCACATTAACCATTTCCTTTTGTGCAAAACCCAGGCCAGAGTCTCCTTCCTTCCAGACAGTCCCAAGCAGCTGAGATCCAAAGACTGACAGCTGAGCCCATGCCACACAGCAAGAGAATTCTCTGCTCCTCACAAACAAACAATGAACTCCTGGCTTTTTGCACCATTTGAGCTTCCCAGACCCTTACTTCAGGGCTCTCTATACCAGAATTGCCAGAGATCTTCAGAAAAGAACCAGAAGAGACCTGTGTTCAGGAGGACCCTGCCACACTGCAAATCTCTGCCCCTCCATCTTGCCCTATCTGCAGACTGGAAGGGCAACTGCTCCAGCAACAAGCTGAATCCCTCTGGGCTCACAATCATAGCTGCTAACCCCTGACTGCTTTGAGCCTTTCTTCTGCACCTGCCACAGCTCCCGGACTATACCCAAGCTCTTCTACTCTCCTTACATAGAAGGCTGAAAAATGTGGTATTAATTCACCCAGGCAGAATCCACTGATCCAGGCGCCTGCCTGGTGAGAGCTGCCTCCCTCCTAGTCCCTTGGCAGGGCGTATCTTGCCCGACCCAGCTGTGCCCAAGCAGATGTATTGCTCCCTTTACAGCACAGTGGAGGCGAGGAAGCTGTGCAGTGGGTGGAGCACGGAGGCACAAGGACTTACGTTCAGTCTCTGGTATGGAGCTGGTGATGGAGGAGCTGGTGGAAGTGATTGTGCTCATGGATGGACTCATACCGTACGCTGGGTAGGTGCCGGTCATCGCTGCTGTGTGAGACACCCAGGCTGCCGGGTCAATGGGCCGAATGGGCTCACCTGCATTGAAGAAAGAGTCAGTCAGCAGCTATAAGAAATTATCCCTTTATCAAACCAGCCTCTGGGGAGGGACAGGGACTCAAGCACAGCCCATTCTATTCCCAGCATCTGCCGGGACTCACCCGGATCGGAGCATGGAGAGTCTGGCCCAGCCCAGATCCGCTGGGGAGCAACTGGGAGAGAAAGAAGAGAGGGAGGGTCAGCAGGACAGGTGCAGAGGGAGAGATCCCCCTATGGCTCAAGGCAGGGGTTTCTCTTTCCTCTGACGCCCCGAGCAAGTGACCCCCCTGCCCCAGTGAAACGCGTCCCCAGCGTGATGTGGGAAGGAGGGCTGGGCTTATGGGCATTTTGGCCTGAGAACAGGACATAGCAGTCTCCTAATAGGAGAGCTGAAAACCCACCAAACCCCAATTCAGTGCCACATGGCGTCACACACACAGGGGAGGAACAAGACAACAACCAATCAAGTGCTTAAGGCAGGGCTCTCACATGAGCTGGGCACCAGCATTAAGGGTGAGTCAGCTATCCACTTACTCCTGGGTAATGAGAAGCAGCCACGGGGGCTGGGGTCCCAGCACTTGGCCACCGTCAAGGTGATGGGCCTGCAACACAAAGGTGAGAATTAGAACAAGAGCCCAGTGGCACAAACCTCTGTGTGATGGGTGGATGCTGTGTGCTGGCTCTCTCCTGCAAGACAAGGAGAAGCTGCCAGAAAAGTGCCCTTGTCCCCCCCTCCAGCTCTGGATCTCTTAGCAGTATGGACAAAATGATGCAACACTGCTGAGGGCTGCTGATGCCCCTAGTGACACGGTATCCCCACAAAAAAGAGGGGCACAGACCACAATTCACCACCATTCTGTTGGCTGCAATTCTCGCTCTGGGCATGAAAACCCAGAAATCAAAGCAACACCAAGAATGTTAAGTTCTGAGCTTCTGCAGAGCCGCTGGCAGAGGTGACTGGAAGACATAACTTGCACACCCCATGCACACACTATATAGCTGCCCATGGAAGTAAGAAACACCCCATATACTTACCCTGGCTTGTGCACAATCTCCCTCAGCACCCGCACAGCATCATCGTTGCTCATGTTCTCAAAGTTGATGTCATTTACCTGCAAACAATGAAAAGAGGTGAGTCCCTGAGATGTGATCAGAGGTTGAGCTCCCCACTCAACTCAGCAGTGACTCAGCTTCCCCTTCCAAGAACAGCTTCCTGGGTTTAGCCTGCCGAAGTGCGCAGGGAGACTTCTGGGTCTTTTCTTATCGTTTTCCCAGGCCCAAAGATGGTATTGTGGGTGTGAGTACCTGCAAGAGCATGTCTCCTGGCTCAATCCTGCCATCAGCTGCCACAGCACCGCCCTTCATGATAGAGCCAATATAAATGCCTCCATCTCCATGCACATTGCTCTGTCCCACAATAGAAATGCCCAGGAAGTTGTATTTCTCTGCAGGGATGGAAAGAGAAAGAAGTAAGACACCATCAAGCAGAAGGCGCAAGCAGCCCCAACCTCAGACAACCCACATGCTAATGACGGTCATTTGCACCCCTGTCCCAGAGAAATGTCCCGGGACACAGAGAAACTCTTGAGAGAACAGTGCTTCAAGACAAGCCACTTTCCTACAGAATCCATCTCCTCACCCCTCCCTGCATGCGCTCTCTTTTGAGTCCTCCCGACTTCCCTCTTCACCACCCAGCCTTGCTCTGTAAGGATCGCAGGGTCCACGCACACCCCCCACTCACCCATGTTCAGTGTGACTGTGATGATGTTCAGGGACATGGTGGAGTCTGTGATGCTGCTGAAGGACGATGACTGCAAAACATAGGTGAAACACGAGATGACCTCCTGTGCCTCAGTAACATTCCCAGTGCCCCAGCTCCCTCCACTTTGTGCTCTAACACTCCCTGTGGCACCACAGCCACCACCCACAATTCCAGCCTTATGCTGGGAGCTTTACAGAGCCACAGGGCATCACCACTGTCCTTATGACCTCTGCAAAGCCAGGACAAGATTTGCAGTCCCAGATTTCAAGGCTACATTGCCCTGGGAAAGGTTTACAGCACTTCATCAGGTCTCAGCACTTGGGCACCACCTGTCCCCATCTGTGCCTACAGCAAACACAATGGAATCCCTGACCATCCCTGAAGCACTGAGTGGAGAGATCCACCAGCTAGCCCACCTTGCCCTGCACTGCCCTTCCCCAGGATACCCAGCCCCTCAGTACCCGCTCAATGCGTGGAGCCTTCTGTTTCCGCCGGCGTCGCTTGTGTCTCCTCATTAGACGAGAAGCACTGCTTTGCTCTGTCGAACTGCTAAACCTAGAGGCAAAAGCAAGAGTCAGATCTGCTGCTGCCAGGGTGGTGGCTCTGGCAGCAAGAGAGCCACAAAAATGGCACAGGGAACAGAGGACTGCAGGGGGAGAACATGTCTGTAGAGGACAGACAATAGCAGAGGGGGCTGCTGGGTGAGACTTTAGCAAGGACTCTGGAGCCCAGGATTACTGTGCTCTACAAGGACACATCTCTCTGCGCTTCTGTGCTGGGAGGCAGGGGGAAGATAGTGTTCCTCTAGGACTCAAGCTCTCCTACCTGCTGGTGGAGTCATCTTCATCTGAATCGAAGAAGCTGGTGGTCTCCAGCTCACTGCTCATGAGCGTGGAGGAGCTCTCGTACCCGCCCAGGTCTCGGCGCCGCTCTCCCTTTACAGTCCCATTTACCCTGGGTGCTATGAAAAGACAAGACAGTGTGTGTTTGAGACAGGCCACAGGGAAACCACTTCTCCTACACAAGACTCACAGCAACCTTCTCAACGTGAATATGTCCATCAGAAAATTCCATCTAGTGTCAGCCAGATCTGAGCCTTCTGAGTCCACCCTGGGATCAGATCCATCTTCTGTGGAATACCTCTTCTATCACTACAGAATGGGCAAGGGGCTGATGGGCCACTTAGGAACAATGCTGCTAAACTCATGGAAGACTTGCATCTGGTTCCTTGCAGAGCAAGTTGTAGCATGGAGTGGCAAAGCTACAGCACATTCCGCTTTTCAGCCAAGAAGTACTGAGGCACTGCTGCCTGCTGCTCTTGAGGTTTGTACAGGACACATCTCCTTTGCCCCCAGAGGTGTCAATATGAAGCTCTGACACAAGATATGTGTTAGTTTCTGCCTCCAGTGTGAGGCTATGGCCTCAGATCACTGAACAGTCCTTCTAAGCCGGGATGGTTCTGCAGAGCAGAGAGCACTGTCCCATGGCTGGAGCCATGACCTAGCCATGCCCTGCAGAGCTCTTGCTGTGTTACCAACACTCACCGTGCTCAGGCCCATCTGTCCGACGGGGTCGTTCCCTTTGGGATGACACCACTGAGTCCGTCTCTGTCTCATTGTCCAAATTTTCTCGACTCCCCCCAGTGTTAGGGCTGTAACGAGATAAAAGGAACAAATATGTCCATCAGGAACAACTTAAAAAGACTCTCTACCTTTGTGCTGGCCAGCACTATCCTCCAGCCATCAGCCAACTGCTTCTTGAGGGACAGGAGCGGAAGTGGGGGGAAACAACCACAGCACATCTATGAGTGCAGGGCAAGGGACGGGAGGAAGCTGTGCCAGCTCTTTGCCAACTTCCCTGCACTACTTTCAGCATGTCCTTACTCGTTGAATAACAAAGCTCTACTTCAAATCTGCTCCCAGCCCCATCCTCCTCCCCTCTAGCTGCCAATTTGGGTAGGAGTGTCCCAGACTCTGGTCTGGATTTACAGCAGTCACTTTGAGTCCCTCAGAAACCAGGATAGGTGTCCAGGTAACTTACTGGAAAGAGGGAGGCCTGGAGTCTCCAATTCCTCCTGTGCGCTCCATAGAAGGTGGCAGCTCTGTCTGGTTATCAGCACAGACTGAGCCAGCATCTGAATGGGAACCCTCTGCAGACACCAGCTGGAAGAATGAGAGACAGACAATGAAATGGCTGAAGCACTGGGAAAACGTTTATAAGAGTGGCCAAACGAGCTGGCCAAAAGCCTGCCTGGCTCAAGATCTCCTCTCTGACAGCAGACAACAGCAGATGCCCAGGAGCAGGTACGGAACAGGCCAAGCATGTAGCAACATTCCCCCTCAACGCCTTCCCAGACACCGGCTATTTGTGGCTCAGGAATTCCTGACCCAGCAGTGAATCTGGGTGGCTGACAACCCTGCTTGGAGACTCTGACATCATCTGCACACTTACACCACACAAATTTTCCCACTCAGGTAACCTTTAGCACACGTCCTGTATGAAGGAATGGATTTCCCTAGTTGTTCTTACACCAAAAGAGGCAGCTACCAGTCATTCCTTTTCTCAATTTTACTAGCTCAGGACTGAGACCAGCTTTGAAATAGACTCCCAACATTTTCAGGCTTCCACATATACTTCACAAACATTCAGGTTGTGCCCAGTTAATCGTCTTGGGCACAACCTCCAGCCAATCTCTGGGAGACTCAACAGCTTCCCCAGTGCAGAAATTCAAGGGTCAAAACCCAGGAACTCTTTATATCAGCCATGTATTGGTACAGCCCAGGCACACCTACATCTGTGCCTCTGGATCCAAGATAAGCCACCAACTTCAGGGCTCAAGGAATGAGGTGGAGCCTCTTCTGGGAAGAATGGGCTCACCAGTGGTATGAAACAGAGGACAGCTCAAAGGAGCCCAATGGAAAGTGGTTTCACCAACATCGCTCCCTATCCAGGTCTGCTTTCTCCCCACTTCCAACATGTTTCCACATCTGCCCCACGCCTGTCCCCTGCATAGCATGGACAAGTAGGATGGTTGATTCTCTCCCAGTGTCAGGGACGGACCACAGGGCCCAGTGCCGCACACAAAAGAGGCCGTGGGTCAGCCTGCGGGTCAGCCTGCAGCCAGTCCAGGGAGGGGGGGACACCAGGACAGAGGTGAAGTTTCAGCCTGTGCACCCGAACAAACTGCCAAGCCATTAGCCATCACAGGAGAGGTGGGGGTTGCCCCACTGTGGATCAGGACAGAAGAATCATGAAACACAGGCTGGAAAGCAGCTGAATGCTGCACAAACCATAACACCCAGTACAAATGCAGAGGCAGCTCTACTGCTTGCTAGTGAGGTGACCACATCTGCATGGGGACAGAAGCAGATGCCAAGCCAGGTGCTGGAGACACAGCCCACTTACACAGGTCTTGAGTGCTTCCCAGGATCATTGGGATGAACCCACCTTCAAGAACTGAGGAAACCATGATAAAGGGAGGGGTGTGTGTGTACCTCACAGGCCATCATTAGGGCAGGGGAAGAGAGGTCTGCTGCCAGGGGGTACTGGGAACAGAGATGTAGCTGGGGCAAGGAAGACAGAGCAGTCCTGAAAACCCACAGCCAATGCAGCAGACAGGGCAGAGGGCACCCTAGGGTGTCAAAAGCTGCAGAGCCCGTCCCACAAGCCCCAGGACAAGCCCAACAGCTCCTGCTCTCACAACTGTCTAAGCAGCTCCTGTTTCACACTTGCTGGGCTTCCCTCTCTCCAGAAAGCCCCAGGCACATGCCCAGCTCTGCTTTCAGCACCTTCCTGGTGAGTTATCTTCCCAAGACACATCCCACTCCCTGAGGGCGACATCCTGCTCTGGCAGCCACTGCCTGGGAGAACAGGGGAGAAGAGATGCTGGCCAGCACTGTCCAGGGAAAAGACATATAATGCTCTATGCTCTAAGAATTCAACGCAAAACCATGAAAATAGATCTGGACAGAGCAAACTAGCCATAGGCAGCTGTCAAATAGCAGTGAGGAGGAAAGGAGAGGGGGATTCTTGAGCAGGGGGACTAATGTTGCCTTCCTCTAAGACTCCTGAGGCTGAGATTTCCTCCAGGGAAGGTTTTGATAAGCACCCTGCTCTTTTCCTGCTTCTTGCACTATCAGGAAATAGTCATTTGCATCCAAGCTCCTGTCTTTCCCTGTAGCTAAAATTAGTACCAAGTCCCTAAAATAGCCTCATCCCAGCCTGTCTGGCAGAAGCAGCAAAGCAAGTGTCCCCCTTTACCCCTCAGCCCCCAAACCACCCATGGACAAGGAGACTATCAGCAAAGATAGAAAAAGGGATCATTTGCTGTACGTAAAGGTCCCTGAGACTGCTGTCACCCTTCATGCATAAGAGCCAGTACCGATCAGTGCTCAAGGCATAAGCTCCCCACAAGGAGCTGGCACACCAGAGCAGCAGCATGGTACCTTGGTCACACCAGACAGCTGAAATGGAACAACCAGAGAGCCACTACAAGGAAAGCCAGCAGCTACATGGACGCATGGACCACAAGGAAAAGCATGCCAGGTGAAAAAAGAGCAATGGAAAGGGCTCAGAGACTTTGGGACTCCCCATAAGGCAGGTGGGGAAAAAAAGGCAAAGGAAAGGGAAAGGTGGGGAGATGCATCAGGGCAGATGGAGCAGCAGTGGGGATGGAGGCTGTTTTCAGAAGGACCTGATAACCACTAGAAGGAGGGTAGCAGGCATCCACTTGCCAGGGCTATGGCTCTTTGTGCAGAGATACGGCACCCTCTCCTGCCGGGCACCCAGGCAGGACACCACCCTGCGTGCTGCCAGCACCCCATCAGGAGCCTGAGCAGCAGCAGGGCGCCCAGACACTTGGTCCCACCAACCCTGCCCTCCCTCCTGAAACACAGTCGCTTCATGGCCTCCAATCTGGGGCCTAGCTTTTTGATGCAGTGCTAGAAGAAGCATTAGGTCTGACTCAGTCTGATTTGCTGAGGATTTTCACCGTTCAGGGGATTATTTGGCAGCCTCTTGTTTCTTCTGGTGTAGATACACGCTTCCCCATCAGCACAAACTGCAGCTCCGCAGAAGGGGAAAAGGGATAATGGACTATGGAGACTGAATACCCTCTCCCCCCGCAAACAGAGGATCCCCTTGGGGGCAGAGGGAGGCATGCAGGCAGGGGACAGAGCATGTGCATAGCATGGCACAGAGGGAGAAGCTTGTCCTGCAGCTGCCCAGGCAGTACCTTTAGTCTTCAGGTCAGTCAAATCCAGTCCGCTTCACCAGCACTAAAGTCACTTAAGCCCTTTGCGCCAGTCACCGGAGCAGAACTTTTCTTGGAAAGCTGACCCTGCCATAGGGGCACATGGGTTATGCTGCAGACAGGCTGGGACCACCACCTCTGCCAACCATCGGTTACCACGAGCTCTCCAAAGAGGCATCCTGCATCTCCCCTGGCACGGGGGACCCAGCACCATGCAGCCCCTCTCCAGATGAGGGACTGGAGCGTGGTAATCCAGCTCATCAGCTTCATTAGCACTCAGTACACCAACAGTATGTAGCAGTCCCCGTGCCTCACTTGGCACTGTGCAACCAAACAGTGGTTTTCAGAGAGGAGAAACAGGCAGTGAGATACTGAAGCAATGGGCTTGCTTACCCAAGACACCACCCGGCCGTTGAAGCAGGGAAGCTTGGCATTGTCATCAGAGATCTCTTCTTTCACCACCCTGTAGAGGGGAGAGGAAGCAGTCAGAGCTGGGTCCAGGACTTAAGAAAAGGAGACTTTCCCAGGCAGGTGTTTGCACCCAACAACAGGCAGCCCAGGCTTGGAGACTGGGTAGGGGAAGAAATAGCAGCTCCCTCCTGCTGCTGGGCTACAGCTTTCTATGCCCACAGCTATGACTGGCAGGCTGGAGAGAAGATGAGGGAGAAACGGGCTTTCCTGTTTGCATCCAGCCGTTTAATCCCCCAATTCACATTTTAATCAATAAAGAAAAAAAAAAATCAGAGCATATCACAGAATCATAGCATCATTTAGGTTGGAAAATATCTTTAAGACCACCACCAAGTCCAACCGTTAACCCAGCACTGCCAAGTCCACCACTAAACCATGTCCCTTGGTGCCTTACCTATATGTCTTTTAAATACCTCCAGGGGTGGTGACTCCACCACACCCCTGCACAGCCTGTTCCAGTGCTAGACAACCATTTCAACAAAGGAATTTTTCCTAATATCCAATCTAAACCTTCCCTGGTGTAACTTGTGTTCATTTCTCTTGTCCTATTGCTTGGGAGAAGAGAGTGACACCCACTTTGTTACAACCTCCTGTCAGGTAGCTGTAGAGAGCAATAAGGTTCCCCCTGAGCCTCCCTTTTCTCCAGGCTGAACACCCCCAGTTCCCTCAGCTGCTCTTCATCACACTTGTTCTCCAGACCCTTCACCAGCTTTGTTGCCCTTTCTGTGGACCCGCCTCCAACACTTCAATGTCCCTCTTGTAGTGAGGGGCCCAGAACTGAGTACAGGATTTGAGGTGCAACCTCACCAATGCCAAGTACAAGGGATGATCACTGTCCTGGCCCTGCTGGCCACACTGTTTCTGATACAGGCCAGGGTGACATTGGCCTTCTTGGCTGCCTGGGCACAAGCTGGCTCATGTTCAGTTGTCAGGCAGCACCCCCAGGTCCTTTTCCACTCAGCAGCCTTCCAGCCATTCTTATCCAAGCCTGCAGTGTTACATGGGGTTGAGCCCCCGTTGTTATGACCCAGGGGCAGGACCCAGCACTTTGCCTTGTTGAACCTCATACCACTGGCCACAGCCCATTGATCCAGCCTGCCCAGATCCCTCTGCAGAGCCTTCCTACCCTCCAGCAGATCAACACTCCCACCCAGCTTGGTGTCATCTGCAGATTTACTGAGGGTGCACTCAATTCCCTCATCCAAATCAATACAGATATTAAACAGAACTGGCCCAAGTGCTGAGTGGTGAGAACACCACTTGTGACTGGCCACCAAGTGGATTTAACTCCATTCACCACCACTCTTTGGGCTCTACCCAGCTGGTTTTACCCAGAGAACAGTACACCCACCCAAGCCATCAGCAGCCAGTTTCTTCAGGAGAGTGCTAAAGGAAATGATGTCAAAGGCTTTACTAAAGTGCAGGTAGACAACATCCACAGCCTTTCCCTCACCTACTAAGCAGGTCAACGTGTCATAGAAGGAGATCAGGTTAGTCAAGCAGGACCTTTCATAAACCTATGCTGACTGGGCCTCATCATCTGGCTGTCCTGCACATACCCCATGAAGGCTATCAAGATGATCTGTGCCATAACCCTCCCCAGCACTGAGGTCAGATTGACAGGCCTGCAGTTCCCTGGATCCTCCTTCCAGCCCTTCTTGTAGCCAGGCATCACATCTGCTAACTTCCAGTCAGCTGTGACCTCCCCACGGTGCCAGGACTGCTGATAAATGATGGGAAGTGCTTGGTGAGCACTTCTGCCAACCTACTTAGTACCCTTGGCTGGATCCCATCTAGCCCCATAGACTTGTGTGTATCTAAGTGGTATAGCAGTTCACTCACTGCATTTCCCCTTGGATTACAGGGGCTTCATTCTGTTCCTGTCCCTGTCCCCATCTCCCAGCTCAGGAGAATCTAAAACTCTCATTTTGTCATTGCTGTGCCCAAGATGGCCTCCAACCACCACATCACCCACAACTCCTTCTCTGCTCAAAAACCGGTCCAGTTGGCATCTTCCCTAGTTGATGCCCTTGCCAGCTGTGGCAGGAAGTTATCTTCCACAAGCTCCAGGCACCTCCTAGACTGTTTTCTCTCTGCTGTATTGCATTTCCAGTAGACATATTTCCACCACTTTGCTTCTCTCTAAATAAATACATAATTTAAACCTCTCTATAACGATCTGAAAGAATCACAACCTATGCCAGAGATTTCTAATAGATGAAAGTGCAATACATTAAACATACTGCTTCCCAAATGTTACTGTTGCTTTTTAATCACCTACATAATATTTCAACATCACTTCAAGCTTTACAGTTGTACCAGAATGTCATGTTCCTTCATTACACAAACAGCTACATTATTATCAGTCTTCATAATGGAGGGACTACTGATAATTTTCCCTCCCAACAGTAAAAACATAATTTTTCTTTAGAGAGAAGTTTTATTCTATTTTACATATCACTGGCACCATATCACTTCCACACTGAGTATGCAATCAAAACAAGTTGTTAATTCACTGGATTCATTTAATACAACCTTTGATAAATCAAATTTAATGGTAAAATGGCTTTAAGAAGCTCATTTTCTTTTCTACTCAATGACATTTTAAGTACTCTTCTTTAACACAAAAATATCTTACAAGTAATTTGTGATATTAATTTCCCCTTCCAAGCTATACCTAAGACAGCTTGACATCTACTGCACTTTAAAAAAACAATGTAGTAATGAAAAAGTGAATAATTTTTTTTTTTTTTTGGGGGGGGGAGAGAATCCAACAGACAAAGAACAAATGTGAAACCAAGGGAGGTAATATATTAAGAAGTAGCAGCTTATAAGTAATTAACAGAGTACACAGAGGTGGGATCCCATCAACAGCTCTGAAGGGTCCCCAGGCCAGTCCCCAACTCACGAAGAATCAGAGGATGCAAGCGTGGGATGCGGAGCTGTGACCCATTGCCCCAGACTGCTGGGCTGTCCAGGCACTGCCATCGAGTCCCAGCACACTGGGGCTTGGAGAAACAGGTACTCTGTACTACCTGCTGCGCCAATAGCTGCCCAAACTGCCACCAAGAACCGGGTAGCAAGGCTTGCCAACACTTGCAAGGCATCAGCAAAAGGCAAATGAACAGGGCCCAGAGACCAAAGCCCAGGAAGCAGGCTCCCTCCACCCTGCCAGCCACACTGGTTGCTCCAGTGTCACACACGCTCAGCAAAGGGCTGTCCCATGGGGTGAAAGGCAGCATGTTGCCATGTCTTTGCTGGCAGCTGGCATTCACAATCCCTGCCCAGACTAGAGAGCCAGTAAAGAGACTGGACAAATGCTGTCCTTCCCTGGCAGGCACAGATGAGGAGGTCACAGTCCAAGCAGTCTAATCCACTCCCAAGATGTGCGTTAATTCCTCCTGCACAGATGGAGAAGCAGGAAAAAGCAGGAAAAGAGCAGTGAGGATGGATCAAAACCATGCTGGCTTAATGCTTCTTCAGCATGCCTTATGCCAGCCTCTGCCCAAAGCCCCTGCAGCCTGGGCTGAGTGTCAAACACAGGCAGTCCCCCCAGGACCTGTCCTCTTTGATGCCCATCTCAACCCTTTCCAATGCAGGCAAGTTGCCGTCTCCTCACTTCCAAGTGCTTGCACACCCCCTGGCCTGGCTGCACTAGCATCCATTCATGCTGTCGCCAGCAGCCTGGACTTCATCCAATTCCTAGAGAGAACTTCAGGCAGAGCCAATTTTCAGTGCTGCACACTGCCTGCTCAGGGTCACAGAGACCTGCCTGTGGGTGAGGGGACAGGGTGATATATTTGCAGGGTCAGGGGGGCCAACCACTAAGCACAAATGAACTATTCCACTCTCAGTGGGGATAGAGGAAACCAACCCCCAAGACCCCCCACCCACCCTCAACTGCAATACCTGGTGCAGAACAAGCTCTCTCTGTGCTGAGAGCAGGTCCCTCGTCACTCCTATCACCCCATTGCTGTCCCAGACATCCCAGGGGTCAGCTCCACCCCAGAGCAGTTCACTCCCTCCTTCCCCAGCCACTACACTATTTACCAGTATTTATCACCCAGATGCCAAAGCACAATGGGTTATATATTTAGACTCTACAGTCTGATAGTGCTGGAGTCAGGCACATGCTGAGCAGGAATACCTGCAGTCCTGCTCATGTCCGCCACCCCTCACCCTATTCATGCCCTGCATTCCGCTCCAGTCTCAGCCTCAACCCTGAGCTGCAGCCTCACTCCCCCACCTCTCACCACTCTCTTCAAGTCACACTTCTGACACGAACGAGACTGCAGGTTCACGTCAGAAGCTGCCAACCGAGCAGCCTCTGGGGGAGCTGTGAGCAGTGCCACGTTTCTCCTCCGCGGATGCATGGGGAGGCAGCCATGAGAGGGAACTGCCCCATGGATGTACTGGCAGGAAAAACCATCCTGCGAATGTGCTGGGAAGAGCCCCAGCTGATGGGGTTTGAACCCAGGAATCCCAAAAGAGCAGACGCAGAAGGAGCTCGAGCTCTCTCGATTCTCTAAACGCCATTCCTTTCGGTAGGAGCCACCACAGCCCAGGGAAAACATCTGCCCAGTGCTGATTTCAAAAGGGACTGCTTTTAGTTTACCCTTCACCAGGGCAGCCCAGTTTCAGATTTTCCCATGTCCTGCTGGGGGCTGGGCACAACACGACCAAGAACGGGGCCAAGAAAAACCCTTCTATGGAGAGGCAGCCCATACCTTGCCCAGGCGAGCCTGGGTCCAGCTCTCTCGGCACTGCCACCCTTACATGCAGAATCTCCCAGCAGACCAGGTGCTGGCAGACCCCTGTCCCATCCCCGGGGCAGGCAGACATGCT